AGTCACTTTTTTCGCTTCGTCTCTGAATGAATCCGCCATTTTGAATGAATTGTTAAACTGAATGATTTGTCACCACCTATTGACGGTTTTAGTTTTATATTTAAAATATAAAAGAATATTTTTTTCCATTTGTTAATATTTATCCCCCGTGGGGCATAATGTCACATATAATTTAATTTTTCAATATTTATATCGTGCACCTGCGGCTGATAAAATCATACCTGAAGTCCACCAAGGTGCTCGCTGAGGAGCTGTGAGTGACAAGGTTTGAAAGCTGTTTTTGTTTTCGGTCGTGATTGTTCGTGCGATTCTGGGGCCAGTTGAATACAAATAGCCATTAAGTTATGACTGTGTCGTTAAGAACTACTAAGACCAACTAGCAACTGACTTAAAAATGTAAAAGTTACAAATTGGATGACTAACTTGTAAGACTAGTCTTAGCGATTTGTGCAACCGGCCCCTGGTTAAGAAGATAGAATGTGTTTATAAATAGACTATTTAGTGTGAAATATGAGATAGCATATTTGTCTGTCTTTTTTTTCCTCATGGGGCCGGGGGGCCTCCAACTGTTTCTTTGAAATGGGTCTCCTAATTGCAAAGGCCGCCTGTGAGCATTACAATTTCATTAGCTTTAAGTAATTTTACAGCTGAGAGAAGAAATAATGAATCAGCTTATCTAAATAAGTACAGTAGATTTGACAACAAAAGCTTGATATCCAACAAAACTAGTTTTTACAAAGATTAGTGTTACCTGATGAAAGCCTATAAGGATGGGATCATAACTGTAGACATGGACACAAGACTTTACATTCATTCTGCAAGTGGGTCAAGATCTTTGGGAAAGCTTTTCTTTTAACATTTGTCATAGCAAAACTCATAAAAGGTGCAGTGCAAAAATCAGCATGTGAGAGAGACTTCGGCTGAGGTGTCTTTTAACCACACAGCGTAAATGAACTTCATATGTACAGTCAAGATAAGGCATTTGATGAATGTTTAAATCTATATAGCTTTTGAGAACATACAGCCTACAACTCACGAATACCCGCGAGAAACCATTCAACCGGTCATCTGGTAGCATTGCTGGATTTCTACAAACTAGAAACCCTTACAAAAATTTACCATGGTACCTGACAGTGGACACTGAATGACCAACACAATCTCACAGCAATTCGTGACTATTTTACATTTTGCTGAATTGGTGGGTATTCGTACGATCTCATTCGTACATTTTCGTACGATCTGTTTGAACCCCATGTGACAGTAGGTTTAGGGGCGTGATTACAGGTGGTCCTTAATAATGAGATTTGTTTGAAAATCGTACGTTTTTGTACAAATCAAATCGTACGAATTCATACGAAATCGCCACCTCGTAAAACACTTACGTTTTTCCATGAGATCCAAATGTTTGTAGGGGAACACATTAGGATGGGTTCATAACATCTTTCAGATATATACACTAGATGTCGCCTTGGGGTTCTAAGCATGCGTCAAAACCGCCGCCATCTTGGAACAGGGGTCTTGTCATAGGAAGTAGCTAGGTAACGCTGCTATCTCCGCCTGTACTTCGAATTCATGGATTTTCGGACTTTTGTGCTGCGTATGGATGTTCACACGAACGAAATCTGAACTAGGAAGAATTTTTTTTTTTTTTTTTGGACTCAATAATAAATACATGTCTGACCATTGGAACGAACCAAAAAAACTAGAAAATCGCATTCATGACGATTTATGGAGACTTTATTTCCGTTAGACCTTTGCCTACATTGACGCTTATGCATTAAAGAGGAGGGGCTCCCCTGTTCCATGAGGGCGGCTCTTGGCGCATTCGTTCCAATGAACTGCCGTAGCCAAGGCGACATCTAATCTATGACATCTTTCCAACAGTGATCGCTAATAACGTGTCCTCACAACAGAGGCTTTCATCACAACAACTTAGTTTGGTTAGCAGTTGATATGTCGCTGAAGAACATTACATGCATGTTCATAATCTACAGCAGCCAACCACATGTCCTAAATCTAGTATAAATACACAGCTGCCTAAATCAATTCCCTCCTAAAATGAGGGAGATCAGCGCAACCATTAAGGACACCCAGATGTTCTTTCATTAAAGAAATGCAAGTAGCCCTTGAACTGAGATTCAGTCACCTCTATAATGTTTGCTTCACGCCTGATCAATATAACTGAATAAAGACTGTGGTCTGACTGCAGGCCTCCTGCCCCGTCAAATGACGTAGGCTAAATCGAACTGCATCACACACAGATGCGTAGGTGTCACGCAGAGAAACAAAAAGCACCATGCATGCAGTAGTATTTATAGAAGACAAGAGTGTATTGCAAAGGGACCCTGTTAAAAGACATTCTATGTGTATGTAATGATTGTAATCACAGCTTTTCAATTGAATAATTCATGTTACATAAGAGTAAATAAATGCTTAAAATCTTACTTTTAGATTTTGGCAGAACAGAATCTCATAATACAGAGTAAATTTAATGTAAAATATTGTGACTATATTTAATGAACACGATTAATAATAACTTTTTTGTTATGTTTATTTAATAAGTATTCAAAATAATTATATAATGATATATTAAGATGCAATAATTCCATGTATTTTCCTGATATGATGCAGCGAGTAGAGTGACTGTCTGCTTACACAATGAGGCAAGATGCCAGGTGCAGACTACATTCTCAGTGGTGATGTACAGTCCTGCTGGCTTACCCTGCAGTATAGCATACATCTCTCCACCGAAGGAAAGCTCATTCCACTCACTAAAGACCTACAAGGTTAGCCAGCATCACATCATTTTTCTCTCTATAGCCCAGAATCTTCCAGCCTTAACTGGTTCAAGCCAAGAATAGCAGTCTCCTGTGTTTTGCTGAAGTCCCTGAACGCACTCCGCTCAAACAAGGCTGAGCAAGAGCCATTTGCTCAGAGAGAGCGAGCGAGAGAGAGAGAGAGAGAGAGAGAGAGAGAGAGAGAGAGAGAGAGAGAGAGAGAGAGAGAGAGAGAGAGAGAGAGAGAGAGAGAGAGAGAGAGAGAGAGAGAGAGAGAGAGAGAGAGAGAGAGAGAGAGAGAGAGAGAGAGAGAGAGAGAGAGAGAGAGATGAAACGCAAAGGAGACAGGAAGTTTCCATAAGGGCAGTTGCACCAAATAACTAACCAAAGAGATTATAGCAACCTACATGTAAACTGCTTTTAGTTTGTATTCATTATCAAAGGAGTGACAATGGCTGTGTCTGAAACCTGAAAAAAGCAGCATTTGCATGCAGCATACGGAGGTAGGAAGGCATCAAATCAAATCTGAATCCAATGTTAGCCTAGCATCCTGTCTATCTAATAAGATGCCTTCATCTGGGTGGTTTTTGAAGGTCTTCGCTTCCTATGATAATCCACAGTTCTACGTGTTTGGTTCGGGGATTGGTGGAAAGACTGAAAATGGTCTCTGATGGAGTGGTTAATAATTTATGAAGGCACATTCATAACGTATGACTTTTCTGGCAAGGAATAAGCATTTGTAGTCATTAAATATTTGTTTGGTTATCTCTCACAAGTTCACAAGAATTTGTTCTTAATCATTTCACATGACATGATGCTTTAGAAGCCAGCCTGAAACCCTTGGCATGTCCCATTATAAAAAAAACACTGCCTGTGGGGTCAATGACTTCGGACACAGCCATAATCTTTCTGCTCACATATTTGAATGCATTCTTCGTAGTGTATGCTCAAACGAACTAGCGATCTGCAGCGAATGTAATCACACAGCAAGAATCTCAAAATGTCCTCCGCCAGTCATTCATGAGCTGTAGTTTTGGATGATCTGTTGATGTCAAATACATTCTGAAGGAAATGAAAGTCAGGTCCTGGTTGCTAGGCGACAAAGGGACCAGAGAGGCCACAGATACAATGCTGACAGAGAAGAGAGAGAGAAATCACTGCTCTTCTCCATCCACACAAGCCCAATGTGCACCCTATAGACGTACAAGACGAGAACACTAGAGGACCAAAGCGCATGTCCCCAGTATATGTGCACAAATCGTACATACACGTACAGTTCATCTGTCCCTTGGGACTTTAAGGACTGTTCACACTAAGGATGATAAAATAACTATAAAGTTTTGATAAATTATCATTCTAATTGGAAACAATGAAGTCCACACCACAGATAAAACGATGACATCACGCAGGAACAATATAATTGGAATCACTTTAAGAGTGATTTTTTCAGCTAATCAGAATCCAGCCGACTTTAAAGAGCTTGAACATTTAAAGTGGCAGGCGACAAATGCAATACGCGCTTATCATAAACAGAATGTTAAAGTTTTAGTAAGCGATTTCTGAGAAACACTGATATTTGAAATCACCAAAACAAACACACCCTTTACCCAAAAGGATGCACCCCTATCTTGATAGCTTCACCCCCAAATCCATGAACACGTTATGCAACACAGGCACCTCCCCCCTAATGAGTGTATACGCCCCCTGCTGATTGGCTACAAGTTGCTCTGTCCACTCTCAACAGCACTTCTCAGAAATTGCTTACTGCACCTTTAACACCCATTGGTGTGGACGCATATATAGTTATTGTTGTAGGTATTGTTCTTGGTGTGAACAGACCTTTAGCCTAAACGCTCTTTCACCTTACTGCAGATGGAAGAATGCTTTTCGTTTTGGACGAAGTGAGTTCTTCTGGATGAATAGCACCCTTGTGTCTCCTCTCTGACATTCTCACGCACACCAAGCGACATGAAGTGTAACGCATGCACAGAGCTCTAAACATCAGCAAAAGTTCACACACATTAAAGCAAATCCCCAGCGTCTTGGTTGGTTCGAGCAGCAAATATGAGGCCAGCGCCATTTTGATGGGCTCAAATTAAGCACCACCTAAGATCCCAGTTAACAATATATACAGCCAGCAGAAGTTTCAGCATTTCCTGACTAACAGGGAGTAGAAAATGAGCATTGGACATCCTTGGATCTGGAGATAGCGATTGAGTTTGAGCAGTGAAGGACCATCTTGCAAGTAAGCAGTGGCTGTTTCGCTATTTGAGTTTGACAGGCCAAGGGAGGCACGTTCTCAGCCCCAGCATGGAGGAGAAGACAATGGTGGGTTTATGCCGTTTAAACCGCAATCCTTGTTTCAGCCGCTGTCCGTTTTCCGCCACGTATAGTTCGCCCTGCTGGGCGGCAGCAGTGATTCGCGCCACCAGCTCCCCGTGTTCCACCGCCTCCTGCTCGGAGCGCACGAACACCTCCCTCAGCTCTTCCAGTCGTCTCTCCATCTCTCTGATGACACGCTGGCGCTCCTCCACCTCCAGGAGGCGTCGACGAGCTGCCTCGAACTCCATACTTGAGCTGGGGGTAACCAGTTTGGACGAGGGTGCCGTGGCACTTGCAGAGGGGGGCTCGGAGCCTGTGTGTCCAGCAGGGACTCTCCGAAAGTCCCCCATGGAGATGGATCTCCGCTGAGAAGATGAGGGCAGGAGGAGGTTGGATGAGGAAGAAGAGGGGTGGACATCCATCGTAGAAGGTAGAGAAGAATCCTGCTCCGCATCGCTGTCAGAGTTCTCATCCTCATGCTGGTGCTTGTTCATATTTGCGCACGGCTGCTGCAGTTGTTTTCTGTCGAGGTGCGAAGTGCTCTTACTATTCTGTTTGAGCTGCCTTCTCCGTCGAGGGAGAGAGAGCTCAAGCACCGTTTTGCTGCCAGTGAGACGCTCCATTCATTAATAAGACACCAGCCACCAGCGCTGTTAGCTCACACTGGAGGAGCCTCGTCACACTCTATTGGACAAAGACACGCTGACTTTGCCGCAGCTGATTGGATGCTCGCCCTCTGTATTCCTGCCCACTCAGCATCCTCTCTTTTTCCCTCTCTGTCGTGACGTCCCTACAGATGTCTATGTCAGCTCAGGCAATAAAAAAAAAGTGTTTTTTTTTTTTTTACTATCACTGCTTAATCATACCCTGTTCCCTCCCTCTGTGTGTTGCCTGTAGCAACACAGCCTGATCCATCAGATAGTAGGAAAGCAGAGTTGACTGCCTGCCCCACACACACACATACACATTTCCCTCTCTTGTTCTCTTTGAAGTTATTCTATCTTTCTGCATCTCTGTCACACTTTTCCTCCCCCGCTGAGGTCATAAAAAGCCAGAAATGCAAGATCCTTCGCAAATGCAACATTCCATGAGCTGCTGTTGCCAAGCAACAGATTTTGGCACTCATGAATCATGAGTTTTAAGTATACTAGTGCAATGCCCGTGCAAAATCAGTTTTTGTGTGTTTTTAGTAATTGTTGGTTTGATATGTTTGAGTTGCTGAATAGCCTAGGCTACTATTACACAGGAGCCTAAATTCTGAGAAAACGATAACGTTAAGCGCACCAGAATAAAATATAATATTCAGAATTAAACAGTGTAGCTGTTTTTCAAAAATGAATCGCTACTTTTTCAAAAAGAATTGCTACTTTTTTCAAAAAGAATCGATACTTTTTCAAAAAGAATAATGCAACAAAATAATAATGTATCAAATGTATAATAATAATAATGTAACAAATCTATAATAACACTGTAATAAATGTATAATTACATTGTAATAAACGTATAATAACACTGTAATGTATAATTAGATTGTAATAAATGTATTACATTGTTATAAATGTATAACACTGTAATAAATGTATAATTACACTGTAATAAATGTATAATTACACTGTAATAAATGTATAATAACACTGTAATAAATGTATAATTACATTGTAATAAACTGATAATTACATTGTAATGTATAATAAGACTGTAACAAATGTATAATTACATTTTTTACACTACTTTTTCAAAAATCGATTCTTTTTCAAAAAAGAATCGCTACTTTTTCAAAAAAGAATCGCTACTTTTTCAAAAAGAATCGCTACTTTTTCAAAAAGAATTGCTACTTTTTCAAAAAGAATAATGTAACAATAATAATGTAACAAATGTATAATAATAATGTAATAAACGTATAATTACTTAACATCGTAATAAACGTATAATTACTTTACATTGTAATAAACGTATAATAGCACTGTTATAAACGTATAATTACATTGTTATAAACGTATAATTACATTGTAATAAACGTATAATGACAATGTTATAAACGATTACATTGTTATAAACGTATAATTACACTGTTATAAACGTATAATTACACTGTTATAAACGTATAATTACATTGTTATAAAAGTATAATTACATTGTTATAAACATATAATTACATTGTAACAAATGTATAAATACATTGTAACAAATGTATAATTACATTGTAACAAATGTATATTTACATTTTTTACACTACTTTTTTCAAATATCGCTACTTTTTCCGAAAAGAATGGCTACTTTTTCAAAAAGAATAATGTAACAATACTAATGTAACAAATGTATAATAATAATAATGTAACAAATGTATAATAACACTGTAATAAATGTATAATTACATTGTAAAAAAGTATAACTACATCACATTGTAATAAACGTATAACTACTTTACATTGTAATAAACGTATAATAACACTGTTATAAACGTATAATAACACTGTTATAAACGTATAATAACACTGTTATAAACACTGTTATAAACGTATAATTACACTGTTATAAACGTATAATTGCACTGTTATAAACGTATAACTGTTATAAACGTATAATTACACTGTTATAAACGTATAATTACACTGTTATAAACGTATAATTACATTGTAACAAATGTATAATTACATTGTAACAAATGTATATTTACATTTTTTACACTACTTTTTCCGAAAAGAATCGCTACTTTTTCCGAAAAGAATCGCTACTTTTTCCAAAAAAGAATCGCTACTTTTTCCAACTAGAATCGCTACTTTTTAAAAAAGAATCGCTACTTTTTCAGAAAAGAATCGCTACTTTTTTCAAAAAGAATAATGTAACAATAATAATGTAACAAATGTATAGTAACTGTAATAAACGTATAATTACTTTACATTGTAATAAACGTATAATTACTTAACACTGTTATAAACGTATAATTACTTTACACTGTTATAAACGTATAATAACACTGTTATAAACGTATAATAACACTGTTATAAAAGTGTAATAACACTATAATTGCATTGTAACAAATGTATAATTACATTGTAAAAAAAAGTATAACTACATTACATTGTAATAAACGTATAATTACTTTACATTGTAATAAACGTATAATAACACTGTTATAAACGTATAATAACACTGTTATAAACGTATAATAACACTGTTATAAACGTATAATAACACTATAATTGCATTGTAACAAATGTATAATTACATTGTAAAAAAAAATATAATTACTTTACATTGTAATAAACGTATAATTACTTTACACTGTTATAAACGTATAATTACTTTACACTGTTATAAACGTATAATAACACTGTTATAAACGTATAATAACACTATAATTGCATTGTAACAAATGTATAAATACATTTTTTACACTATTTTCAAAAATCGCTCCTTTTTCCGAAAAGAATCGCTACTTTTTCCAAAAAGAATAATATAACAAAATAATAATGTAACAAATTTATAATAATGATATTGTAATAAACGTATGATGATGACATTGTAATAAACGTATAATAACAACCTTGAAAAGAATCGCTACATTCCTCGAAAAGAATCGCTACTTTTTTAACTAAGATATATTTAGATAAAGATATATTTAGATAAAGATATATTTAACTATATCTTTTGCATTTCTAATCCAAACCATGTCAAACTCGGCACTGCACTTATTCGTGCCCGTAGCAAGACACCTGTCAAGTTTGAAATCCATCGGACTAATGGTTCGAGAGATATTCAATTAACAGACAGACGTTCCTGTAATTTATAGATAGATTCTGTATTTCAAATAATACACAATAAATGTGTTATTTATGAGGGAAGTAATTCACAAGATCTCACATGTTCGAACTAATGCTAAAACACCTGCTCCAGTTATGATTAAAAATATCATGTTGATACTGAGGTTTGATCTGAGGTTGATACTCAGATTTATTTACCTACTAAGGTGAAACTGAAACAGAGAGGAAATGTTATTTTAAAAATTCATACAATACTGCTCAGTTTAAATTATTACTTTAGTTTAAATAAAAGACTTATGACTTTGACATTTCCCATGAAGAATTAGTATGATGTTTAGAATTTTTTTTTTAAACTAGGAGTGATCACATACATTTAAATCACATTCATTTTCAATAATATACATTTTTAAAATCTGTTTAACATGATGAACCTTGCAGATTCTTTAAGGGGGTACAGGCAATTCTGTATAGAACGGTTTATTTATTAAAAAAACATGTGATGCCATCTTAAAGGTAGGGTAGGCAATATCGGAGAGGCTAGCAATAGCAAGCTAACTTTTAAAGCATGAGATCCCATCCTCCCTTCTAGCGCTCTACAAAGCCATGCCTCCTTCAAAACACATGAACACACATAGCAGAGTCTGCAAAGTGTCACGAGACAAGAGACAGTGTTAAATTACCTCATGTCTCAAAACTCATAACATTACAATAATGAATGTAAACAACTTACAGAACTCTAGTTGTGCCACCTGACTGCAGCTGACAGCAATGACAATGTTGACATAGAAACGCATAAATCCGAGTCTGAGGATGTGAAAAGCTCCGGGTAGAATGTCACCGGTTGCCATCTCATAATTATGGTTACTACTGTGCATGGTATGAACGCAGTGAATAAGAGTCAGAATGTTCTGACGGAATGTGTGCTTTGTGCCAATCATAAGGCTCTGTCTGAACTGTTTACGGCTCCGCTGGTTCCGCTCAACACCCTGCCTTCTTTTCCATTTATCAGTGTTGCGGCTCTGCAGTTGCGTAACTGCAGTAGGTAGCCTAGTTGGGTAACATGGGGGAAGATGCCCCTGGCCTGGGGCAAGAACCCACCCCCATCCTCTATTCTGAAGACAACAGGTTAGTTGATGTAATTTTGTGTCTCTGTAAAATAGTGATGTATGACTTTGTATTATGTATATCAAAGTTTTTATTTTAAAGTAAAAAGATAAAATTAGACTCTTGGGGTAAGATGAGATATACAAGAGATACAAGATATTATATACAGCATGCAAAGCTTATCAACATATGTTACAGTTTAAAAGTAAATCCAGATTGTCCTCAAGGTGCATGTTTCTTCCCTCATGTTACCCTAACTATTACGTCTTGTGTTCTTAAGAGCAATACCGCGTTCTGTGTGATCATTACGCCTGTCAATTAGAAGTGAAGTAAAAAATGTAACTAAAAAAATGAAACTAAAGCGCTTTCTCCTCATCCAGATGGATGAAGCAAACGGCTCAGCGTTTAAAGGTAATTTCCGATGATTGACATGATGACATTACAGAGTTAACCGGTAGTTTGATACTGATCGAATGGTATCTTACCGGTAAAAGACGGAACACCGTTGCTTCTGTAAACAGCACATTTGTGTAGGCCTATAATCTATTTACTGGAAAAGTCGTTTTGCTGTGTGAAAGGGGCTAATGTTTATCTCTTGACTAGAGCTACTCTAGAGATTCCGCCTTATTTAGTTAGTCATCATCACTTTCTACAACCACGTCGCTTTGGCGTAACCATGGTATCCTACCCGTCAAGCAGAAGCAAAGCAAGCTCGGCATCTGTGTTAAAAAAATTAAAGATCTTCACCATGTTTACTCTCATCCTTTTGGTAACGTAGCCTTTTTGTTTTCCCTTTTTGTTGTGGAAGCCCAGATGAAAAATCGTGAACATTTCGCATGAAAACTGCAACAAGTTCATCTGTCAGGCCATCTGCTTCCGGCTTTCCGTATGTCTGTTTTGAACTTAGTCAAAAAACTGATGAAAAGGTTTCTGCTAATTTTTTTTAACTGTGTAGCCTCTAGTGTGTAGACCCGAGTTGTCACAAATATCGGCATGATATTTTAGGTTAAGACAGTTATTTCAGTTATATTTTTAGATTTAGCGGGACAATTTTCTGCTAAAGCCTAAATTTAATCTGTTCATCATATGAAGCGTTCGTGTCTCTTCAGAAAATTTGGACTAAACCGCTCAATCACATGGATTAGTTTTACAATTTCTTTATGAACTTTTGAAGCGTCAAAGTGGTAGTTGCGTAGACTGTCTATGGAGGGACAGAAACCTCTCCGATTTCATAAAAAAATATCTTCATTTGTGTTCTGAAGATGAACGTTACGGTTTGGAACGACAAGGGTCAGTAATTAATGACAGAATTTTCATTTTTGGGTGAACTAACCCTTTAATGTGCTTAAAAAAGTAATGACCTCATTATGAAATCAAACAAACTGTGGAAATACAGGTTCACTGTGTTGTTGATGTCTTTCCTTTCACTTTTAGGCAGGAACTCTTTACAGAGTTGCATTTCAGAATCACTGAAAGGAAAAAGCTTTTCCAATATGTGTAACCCCTCCACCCGGGTCCTACTCGCCACGATCTGTACAGGCCTCAAACCCGGGTCTCCGGCATGAGAGTCAGGCGCTCTAACAAGGAGGCTAAAGACTACAGCCCCCTAGCATCTGTCGCTAGAGCGCCTATTGAGATCAGAGGAGTGAGGTTTACTCACAGAGCAACTATTAGCTGGCCTCCGTTACACTCACCCCCCTAAACCTCACTCCCATCCGGGTCACGGCACCAACGTAACCCCTCCACCCGGGTCCTACTCGCCCCGCTCGCTGCGGGCCTCGAACCCGGGTCTCCGGCGTGAGAGTAAGGCACTCTAAAAAGGAGGCTAAAGACAGTAGCCCCTTCAAAAAGACAAAAGTTTATCTGAGAACCAAGCCAGTGTAAATAGCCATGTTATGTTTCTGTATTTTGATGTGTGAAAGATGCTTAATACTATACCCGTTTAATCCCACCGGTCACAATTGTGACCACAGCTTTTTTCTTATTTCTGGAAGCTCTAAAAATGTTTTTATTGACTTTGGGCAAGAAATTCAACTTTTAAATGACAAAATAGATTGTCTTGATTAAAATCAATTAATGTCATGTGACTAGTGTGAAAGGTCACATGACCAGATCAGTTCACTTCCTGCTTGCACATCTAGAAGAAGATGTCTTCCTCAGACTACTACAAAAAGTAGTATATAAAACATCTTAATTTACATATAGAACTATCATATTTTGTACATATATTCTTTAAAGGGTCTACTACTGATATATTTTGAGAATTATACCCCTGCATATATATTTTGCTCGTAAGACTTGTAAATTTGTTTACGGTCACAATTGTGACCGGTAGTATAACACAGTGCTTCAATTGAAAACAGAGGTATTGGCTGGTATTGGCAGGTTTTGGCAATCCTACACTGAACATGCCACACCTGTGAGGGGGATGGATGATCTTGGCAAAAGAGAAGTGCTCACTAACACAGATTTAGACAGATTTGTGAAGAATATTTGAGAGAAATAGGCCTTTTGTGTACATAGAAAAGGTCTTAGATCTTTGAGTTCAGCTCATGAAAAATGGGGGCAAAAACAAAAGTATTGCGTTTATAATTTTGTTCAGTGTAGTGATGAGTGTCCCAGAAACGGTCCATGTGTTGGACCTTCTTGACGTACGTTTAGTCATGGTCTAGCCCATACGGGTCTAGCCGAACAAGCAGAAGTTCCTCCAGGGTGTAACTTTGTACATGACCACCTTTTCACCTCACTAAGCCTTCTTCACGAAATGACAAAACGAGATATTGGATGTCTTGGAATGAATTGTGTCAATAGGTCTAATTGAAGAATTTGAATGAATTCTGACTATGTTGTTTCCCACCGGTCACTATTGTGACCGAGTATAAAACCTAATATTTCACTAACTTAACCAACATAAAATCAAAAAAGGCATAATGTTTGAGTGTTAGGGAGGTCTAAGGAGTAAAATGCATGTACTCAAGTTGCAAGAAAAAATTTGGGATTAAACGGGTTAACACCTGATTATCATGCATCACTATCGGACTGAATAGAGGCAGGCAAACGTTTGTAGACTGTTCATCAGAAAACTCTCTCTCTATCCATTTCCTCAGACCACCCTCAATCTGACACCACATAATTCTAACCAAGCTTAATGTGAAACCAGCCCAAATCATTACGGTGATGCTGGGAAGAGACTGCAGTGGTGGCTCAGATCTCAAGGACACTATAGGTAATGGAAAAATCCAACATCTCCGGCTCAATAACATCCTTCAAAAACCACTGTAAATTAATAATTCAAACATCCAAGGAAGGATTTATAAGGAGCAATAATTGACATTGTGCATTTGAACTTATTTGCATACTTCCTTGTTTCAAATACAAGAGAAAAATCACTGAAAGATATTAGTGTTATCTGAGCAGGAGATACTGTAAAAATGTGCTAGTCTGCAGAACATATAACAGCTGTGATAAATAAGCAGCAAAAGTGACATGATAAGCCCCCTTTTGTGGTCTGGCCAGTGAAAAATAATCTGGGACAGTACAAAGTGAGAATCACTCAGCAATGCTTTAAATAACTTTTTAAAAGCCCCATCCATCTGAGATTAGAGCAGTTAGTGGTAGGAGAGGGAGGGATGGGGGCTCTCAATGTTGGATTAATAATGGATTTATTTCAAGCATTCCATCAGTAATGTTCAGAGAAGTGCTACAGATGTTACTTTAGTGATTAGAATGAGAGGACAAAGAGAGAAAGAAAGCATGAACGTGTACTGAAAATGATGCTTTTACTTCAAAACTCCTACTGAGTGATAGATTTTTTAGAGTTATTTAAGCAGGCAAAATAGGTGGAATATATATAGATACCTTTCCTCCAGGGGTTCACAGATCCTTCAATTTTGTCCAAATAATGTCTGTGTATTTGAGGGACTTGAGAGATTACTACGGAGAAAAGGGAAAACAGATGGAGAGGAGAAATATGTTGGAGAGAGAGAGAGAACGAGGACAGTATTAAAACAGACAGACAGGTGAACAGACAGAGATACTGTATGTACAAGAGCTGTGTCATTCATTAATTCATTCATTGTGGATTTAGACTCAAATAATCCCACTTCATGGCCTAAATTCTGATTTACAAAGCTTTCATGTTCTTTGACTTGTACTACATTAATCCAACGAGCAGATTAAAAATATATAATATGCCAAGACTGACAAATACAATGAGGTGGAGACCTCACATGGTCCCAATGATTAAGTCACTGAATAAGTAAAAAGTCAGGACAAAAAAGAAAGATGGGAAAGAGAGACAGGACAAGTCGTTTTTTTTCTTTCTTTTTTCTTTTAATAGAAAGGCATCAGGATGAAGGTTTTAGAATTCAGGCCCTTAACTGTAAAAGTAAAGGGTGATCATTTACACCCCATTACCACAAACAGCACCCAGCCCATCCACCCCAACATCAGGCAGGAGAAACAAACACATTTACACAGTGATACGACCGAATGCTGTGACTCCCAGTAAATTAAGCGTTTTTTTTTTCAAGTAAAGACAAATAAATCACAATTGATTTTTTTTTTTTTTAGATTAAGCGAGAATAACCCCAAATACCACACAAAGAGCAAATAAAGTTTGGGAGAAACAGAATGCACACTTACAGAGACAAACTCTATGTTTTTTAAGCACTTTGGGTACAATTCCAAATTCTGTTCCACTTACTTTTTAAAGTGACTTTAAAGATTTAAAGGAATAATTCATCCAATAATGAATATTCTGTCAGCATTTATTCAGCCTCGCATCATTCCACACCGGTATCACTTTATGTTTTTAGCAGAATGCCCATGTTTTTCTTTTCAATAGGGTGAAAGTGGATTCCCGGTCCCTATTCTTCTTTTGTGGAATACCGTAAAACTTCAAATAATAGCCCGGGCTTTTATTTTCCCAAATCATCGAACTGCACCGGCTTGTATTTGAGGCAGGCGTCTATATGAGACCGGCCTTTATAATTTAGTGTTGAGATGTTGTTCATTGAGTGTAAGCCTAGAGTCTCGAATCTCTAAAAAATCTCCAAATGCTCCACGTGAAACTGCTGTCTTTCCGACCTTTTACTATCGTGTCAATTGATTTTGATTAATATGCGCGAGGGAGAGAGAGCAAGACAGCGCTCGTTTTGTTTGAAGACGTGAGAGTGCGCGCGCGCGGCCGGGGCGCGCTCTCTGCTCGTTATGCGCCCTGTCAAGCGCTACATCACTCACCGATCAAAAAAGGCTTTGGCTTGGCGGGACACAAATTTGCTTTTTCGGCCGCCAAAAAGCGGACGATCTGACGGGTTTTAGAAGGTTAAATACAACCCGAAACTAAAAAAAACAGACCCGGCCTCTATTTGAGACCGGCCTTTATTTACCCAAACCTGCAGCCACACCAGGCGTGTAAAAGAGACAGGCGTCTATTTGGGACTCGGCTATTATTTGAAGTTTTACGGTATAGAAAGTCATAGATGTTTGGAAAGACATGAGGGTGAGTAAACGTTACAATTTTCATTTTGGAGTGAACTATCCGTGTTAAAACTAATAATCGGACCTAGATCCTTTTCTGATTCATTATGTGATGTTTATAATTATTAATTCAAAAATTCTGAATCAATGCAAAACAATACTGCAAGGTGCAAGCACGTCTTAAAACAGAAACGACGTTTGATTGGTAAAGGGAGCAATACTTGAGCGAAGTTTGATGAATTTGCAAGGCATCGCTAATAACAGCCTGAGCACAAAACAGTTGATAGTTCCACCACGCTCTGCTTCTGAACGCACGGAGAAAAAGGAATAGGACAGACAAGATAAAAAATATACACAATCATTAAATCGTTTTCTCAGCTGTCATATTTATACATTTTGTGCTCAACGTGCCTTTATAAAATAACTTCTCTTTAAGCAACAACATCAACAACAAAATCAAACACAAGAGACAGCAGTCAATATCCAGAAAAAAAGCACGGGTCTAACAAGAGCAACATTTTTCCATGCCACAAGCTTCAGATGTCATCTCACGTTCAGACTTTTCCATTCTTTTCTTTGTTTAATAAACACACAAGGAGACATTTTCTGAACAGTCTTCACCAGTGCTGACAGGTTCACCAAGCAAAAGTGCCGAGTTGGGGAAAACAAGAAAGAAACAAGACAGCATTGTACAAATCCATGCAGAAAGCACTTCCATTCTCCACAATGTTTAGGTTGATAGTCGTGTGAACATGCTCACCGGATCATTATGGAAGATACATTTAACCTTTACTCATTCATCTAGGGTGACATATTATACTGGAACATCTCTCTTTCTGCTGATGGCCACTTTCAGGAAGAGACGGACTGAGAAAACTACTGCTGAACAGCTTCCAAGAACAGACAAATCTTATGCAGATCAACATGAAAATTCAGTTGAACAAACAACAGATATAAAAAATAAACGAAAAGCAAAACAAACAAAAACTGAGAAATAAAAAAGGAAATCCAAAACTCAGTGTTGATATTTAAGAATTACAGTACCAAGACATAAATGCACTGGGAATATCATCTTTTTTATAACAGTATCCTTTACCCGGTTTTGAAATCTCAGACACACACAAACAAACACACCCCTAACTCCTTATGGAGTACAGAACCCTCACTGGCCACGCCCCTCAAATTTCATCAGCCAATCACCTGCCTTGCCTAGCACGCTTGACAGCTTCACTCCAGTGCTGATGTCATGGGCAGGTTCAAGAGACCGTCTTTAGTCTGTAGAGCTTCAGTGTGGTTCTTTCATCCATCCATCCATCCTTTCCACAACTGCATTCAGTCAGGAGTACATATCAATTTCTCCTCTCCTCGTTCTCTACAGAGAGGTGGAAGGGAGCTTTTTCACCCGTCTCTGCGCCAGGAATGAGGACTCGATGGGCTTCAGCTCAGGGGGTGGTTGGGAACTCTTCAGCGCTGAGTATGTGGCGGCCATCGCCCCCTGTGAGGAGAGAGTTGGTGAAGTAATAGACCAACATTTATGTTATATATAATAAGAGTAAGAGCCTCATGGCAGTGGTACCTTGACAAGCTTGGCATCTTGGTGTTGTAGCTGGCTGTTGGGAAGTTTGTCTCTCTGAACAATCCACGGATGCTTCAGGACCTGCATGGCTGTGAGCCGCTGGTGAGGGTCCACATGGAGCATCTTAGACACCAAGTCCTGGATGGAAAAGTATGTGTGTGAGAAAATAAAATCCTGTCAGAGAGGTTTGAATGGCTGCATTGATAAGGGTGGGATCATGGCCTACTTTGGCAGCATCAGACACCGCATCCCAGTTGCCTCCCGTCAGAGTAAAGCGGCCACTCCCTATCCGACTCAGAATATCTTCTGGAGTGTCTTCTGGTCCGTTGGCAAATGGCGTAAAACTGGAACAATTAAGAATCAAAAGGAAAAATGATTGTGGGTGTGTTTTCAGTTTTTATGTGTTGACATTGAGTCCTTGTCCGCACAGAGACAGGTATTTTTATAACCAGAGTTTTTCCTCATGCGTTTAAAAAAAATCCCGTCCACACATGCTCGGTTTAAAAATAATCTCTGTCTACATGAAAACGCAAAAACACGCTATCAAGAGCATGCCACACCAGCAGGCAGCGATATAACCCTAACTCTAAAGCCATGTTGGCCAATCAGAAGCCTAACAAAAAGTTATTACCGGTTACGGTAGGCGGTTAACGGCGCACAATCTGATGTCAAAAACAGCGGATAACGGCGCACACTCTGACGTCGCAAGGCAAAACCTCCGGTTTTACTGTCTACACGACAACACTGAAAATCCTCACCCTGGCAGGGGTTTTCAAAAATGTTTGGTTTCAGTGACCTGATACTGCGTTTCCATGTGGACGAACGGCCGAACCGCGTAGAAAAAGTCACGGTTACAAAAACACCCGTGTCTGTGTGGACAAGGCCTGAGAGTACAATATTTATTAATAATGGAAGATAATGTGTGTGTGTGTTATTACCCAGCAAGCATAGTGTAAAGCAATACTCCAAGACTCCAAATGTCACAGCCCTCATCATAGCCCTGTCTCTTCAGTACCTGCAACACAAAACAATGTCAGAACAGTTATTGAGAAAAATATTAAAAACTCCATATCATAAAGACATTACACTGATCCCAGATAATTTAAAATCACATACACGACACATACATCAAGACATTGGGCAGACTTAAGTAGTAAAGGGAGGTGATTGGCTGATGAAGTTTGAGGGGCATGACCAGTGGGGGTTCTGTATTACTCTTATGGGTAGGTGTGTGTGTGTGTGTGTGTGTGTGTGTGTGTGTGTGAAATTTCAAAGAACCAGGTAAAGTTTACTGTTTATTGGTCTATACAGCATTCCCCATTCTGTTGTGAGTACAACCACTCACCTCAGGTGCTACAAAGTTGGCAGTATAGCAGGGTGTCATGAGGAGACCATTGTCTGCCCTTAGCTGCTTGGCAAACCCGAAATCACAGATGCGCAGAGATTCTGGATTTCCAGACTCATCGACATACAGAATATTACTGGGCTTCAGGTCTCTGTGCACAACCTGTAGGAAAACCAGAAAACATAGGGGATAAAATACTTACATTTTCCTGCATAACTCGCAGACAACTACAAATCTACCTGCCATCTTTAGGTGCAAACTGCATTTATATGCGCCAAATAGTAACTGTACTATTAATAGTACAGTAGTTATGAAAAGACTACATTATAATATCAAATTTCAAGGGGACATTTTAAAGTAATAATGTTGTTTTAATATTACTCAATAGTTTATATGGTACTAAATCTTTTAGCTGTTGTTATTTAAACACATTGCCAAAAAAATTAACTATGTGGGATCTATATTATAATTATATGAAATACTGTGATAAAAGAAATTTAGTGTTACAATTGTCCCCAATTTCCTATTTCTAGAGTCAATTAGTTAATTCTCGGTCTTCATGCGCTGCTATAATGTATGCCTTAAAAAGCTACACTATAATATTAGTCCTAAGCACACTATCTATGTGGTTCTACTGGGCAAGACATCAACATAAATACTATTAAATGTTGACAACAGAGGAGGGGAGTGGAACAGAAGAGGGCCAAAGGAAGAGCCTTGGGGAACACCCTTAGAGGAGGGGGAAAGCTAGGCTCTGTCACAAGCTATGAATCATAATGACAGATTCTGTGTTAGTGGCAAGTTTTTATCTACAAGATAAATGTGATTAAGTTTGTCCATGCATGTTTTCTCACCCCTTGAGAGTGCAGGTATTCCACGGTCTTTGTGATAGTGTGCAGCACAGCACTAGCCTCTCTCTCAGAGAAAAACTTCTGCTTAAGGATTCTGTCCAGCAGCTCACCTCCTCGCATCAGCTCAGTGACCAGATACACCTGCTTCCCATTATCATAGACCTGCAATACAGCAGTTTTATTTCATTAAATATGGAGTTATAGTATTTATATATAGTTTTGCTCTCTGTATTGAACATATATCAAATTTTAATAATGCAGATGATTTCTGCAGATTAGTTAATTGTAGGGGTGTAACGGTACATGTATTCGTCCCGAAACTTACAGTACGGACGTCACGGTTCGGTGCATGCAGTCGCACATCGAATACATTCAGTCACAAGTGATCCACACTCTAAAACAGAAGGGGGAGCGTGTGGTAATGTAATGCTATTTGCTACCAGTAAAACCCGCAGAAGAAGAGGACGATAGATCAATCAGTATGTTTACAACTCTCAACCAGTGTTTTAACTTTTTTAAATATGTCAATAAAACAGCTTGAGTATAATTTACCTCAGGCATTTAGTGTTGACAACAGGTTAGTTTGCAAGAGAAATTAACTCTAGAGAGAGGCATTTTGTATATATGCACTATTAGTCTATTCATTATATTATTTAATGTATGTTTAAATAAATTTGTCATAAAAACAAGTTATAACAGTAACTGTGTAAATGATTATATTTCAAAAATGAATTGGAGTAGAAAATTAACTTTATAATTAGATTTAGAAGTTAATGCAAAACCTGCCTTTTGTGCAATTTACAGTACCTTTTTTTTGAGTGTTGATTATTATATCTAAAAATTAGTAGCAACTCAATTTAATAATTTGGGCTCTGTTGTTAATTGTAACCTTTAATATTATAGTAATATGTAATCAAGTGCTCCCCATATAGTTTACAGCATTAGCTAGGATAGATTTTTCTATCCTTAAGAAAATGTTAATTATAATAGAATTTATTAAAACACATATACTTTTGTTTAATAAAACAGTTTAATAAAAAAAGAAGTGATTTTGTGTTTAATTTATTCCCCCTGCTGTATCGAACCCATACTGAACCGTGATTTCAATACCGAGGTATGTACCGAACCGTCATGTTTGTGTACCGTTACACCCCTAGTTAATTGTGATTTTTTTTAAAAAGTTGTTGTACTTACATCTTTGAGAGTGATGATGTTGGGGTGCTGGCCGTATCTGAGCAGGATCTCAATCTCTTCGGATGGGTCGGTGCTTGTTTTATCAATCACCTATTAACATTATACAGTAAATGATGTATTAGTCACCCGAGGACAACATGTATCTTTTAGTGAACGTAACCATCTTTTTAATGATGACATTTAGTCATTAAAAAAAGAAATATGGATTTATATTATCTGAAATACAGATCTTCAGATTAATCAATTATTTTCCACAAAGCATCCAAATATATTTGAAAAAACCAAAGGAACTGACTGTAAAATGCAGTATCCTCAAAGTCACAAATGGTTAGGTAACCTAATCTAACCTAACCAAAAATGCTGATGTCAAAGAAAGAAATGATGATTCAAAGACACTTGTATGACTTGAATACAATATTAAGACAAGTTAAGGGAGTGAGGCTCTAACCTTAACTGCATACTCTGTGTTGGTTGCTTTGTGTATGCAGCGTTTGCAGACAGAGAAAGAGCCCATGCCAATATCCTCTTTCAGCATGTAACCGTCACTGAACAAGATGTTCTTACCGTGAAGCTGCTGCTTGGAGACAGGTACACAACAGAGAAGAGAATATTAGAACAGCAATACAAATACATGCGCGCACACACAAACTGCACCGATAGTAAAATCTAATAATTACAAAGACGACACAATAATTACATTCTTTCACACACAGACACAAACACTAGAGTCTCATTATTAGTTTGAACTCAGAATGATCTCACTAAAACAGAATAAAGCCATTTACATTTTTACAGAACTACTACACAGCACTTGTGATAGAAGAAATCATTTCCCCGAAGTCGGAAGTTGCAGTTTTTGTAGAAAGAATTTGTCTGCTCTACTTCTGAGCGCAAGTCCACCTTTGGTGTTGTGTAAGGCAGGCAGGTTTTTAGTGTTCATTTGTATTTCCTGTCACCGTGTAGGCTCTTTTATTTGATATAACAGTGTAAACAGCTGTCAAACATAATGTCAAAATAGCACACAGCAACCCCAACCTAAAACATCTTCCCACAACCCTGTTATCATCTCCATTAAACACTATTACTCACTCTTGCATAAATCAATTGGAAAATGGTAGAAATACTGCTATCTAGTGGTCAGATAAATTCACTTAATCATAACTCATAGGATGTAAACAGTCCTTAGATGTCACATCTGTTTTCTGTTATCTTTATGAGCATCACATGAAAGTTACAGTATTTACTGGCACAACATTTTTTTATTATTTTCTGTGGTAATTGGCAGCATGCCACCGATTAACTCAAGCCTAACCTTGAACCCTTTAATATTGTCATACAGCATCTAAAAGCTGAATGTCCAATTTACCACCACAGTGAAATACAAAGAGTTGTTTTACCTGTACCACAGGGTGTGGAGGGGGTTGAGAGGGCTCCTCTTTGCCCTCCTCCTCTAGCATTGCCGTGGCAACAAAGCTGAAGCCCCGGAAGAGCTGATGAGCCCCTGCGCTGGGAGGAACGCCTGGGGAATCTGAGACAGGACAAGAACAGAGAAACCTTGAAGCCCACACTCATATTCCATTTTAGCTGCTGATGACATTTGAAAAATCCACCCAAAGCTCCAAATCTACTGCAGTGAGCTCAGCTTGAAGATCAGAAAGAGAACACAGCCATCTGTTCTATGACATGAAAAGACCATGGAAACTAAAAAAAGGACAGTTCACCCAAAAATTTAAACCGTTATCCTTATCATCCAAAGATGTATTTTTTTTCTTCTGTGTAAGAATCTTAATTCAGCTCTTTTTCATAAAATGTAAGTGAATGGGGACCAGTGTTGGGGAAGTTACTTTTAAAAAGTAGTGTAACTCGTTACTTCTTTTAAAAAGTAATCCGTTACTTTACTTAGTTACCCCATATAGAAAGTAACTTTTTCCGTTACTCGTTACTTTTATGTTGCTTGACTTTGGGCAGAACCCAATATCTGTTCCTAAATGTGTAGGCCTATAAAGTTCTACTATGCATAATGCCATATATAATGCCATAAATGCATAATGCATTTATAAAAAAAATTAATATTTATGAAGAAATGCCGGTTAATGGATAGGTATATGCATGGGCGGCGCTATGGAGAGGCTAGAAAGAAAGCCCCCAAGAAAGACCAAAGCACCCCGTTAGCACCCCCAAAAATCATTTCTGGAAGTAATTATATTCAGGCTGTATTCTATGGAAGTCCTGAACCGCATGGTGAAGAAAAAAAAAAGAAAACTTATCTTGTTATTTAGACATAATAAGGGGACATTCTAATCTGCATTAAGCCAAATTAAGCGTTCTTATAATGGTTTTCTATGGGAGGAAAATGCTCAACGTGTAAGTAAACACGTTGCGTTCATATTCTGGGCTCATCGGATTTTTTGTACATAGTATAGACTTTATTATGATTTTAGTATCATAATGATTAATAAATGCACGCACAATTATCCGTGAACTTGATAAATGTTGCAGATATGTTTTACTATGCACGTAAACAAATGCCTTTCAACTTATGTGTGCAAAATTCAGAATTAAATGAATGTGCAGCAATATACAAATAGAGAGTCTGTAGGCCTATAGCCTACGTGTTGTAGCCATTAAATAAGCGCATTTAGTTTCATATTTGTTAAAATATTATAATGTTATTTTTTTTCCATCTATGCTGATTATGAAAAGTGAACAGCGCGAGTAAGATGGATGCGCAATATATCGGGAGACATTGAGTCAATCAGACATGATTTTGACCACTTCATTAAGTTTTGTTTTGAAGAAAGCCTTTCTTTAAAGCGAATTTCGTTTTGTATAAATTGTATCTTAATTTTAATCAATTTTTTATCAACCAAATGCCTGCAAGTAAGAAGCAAATATAGGGGACAATATAATCATGGAAGCGCCGGCGTGGTCACTTGCATTGCACGTGAACTGGAGCATCTCATCATAAATTAACCGAAACTCAATGTAGAGAATTTAAGCTTGAAATGTCTTTAAACGAAACAATTCAAAACGAAAAGAAATAGGCTAGCCTACTCTCTGATTATGAAATCCATTTTGTGCATTTCTCTCTGGGGCGTTCACTACGGAGATGGCGATCGCGGTCAAATCTATCAAATGCGGAGATCGCTGTCAAATCCCAGGGACAGATAATCTGTCCCTTGGGAAAGTAACGTTGCGCCGAATTGAAAAAGGAACTACGTTTCGTTACCAAATTTTCAGTAGTAGCGCGTTACACTACTTTTTACCCGAAAAAGTAGTTACGTTACTGTAACGCGTTACTTTGTAACGCGTTACACACAACACTGATGGGGACCATGTCTAATTAGCAATTTTTTTACTGTATAAAAATCTTGCAGGACTATTTCTGAATAATTATTTAAAATGTTGTCCGTCCCATACTCGGAGCTTTTGTGCAGAATCAGAAGAATAGCTTCTAGTGCTGAATGATATTTTTTTTGGTCATTTTTGGAGTTTGACCGCCCCTAGTCTACATCCACATGTATTATATGTAAAGGAGCAACTTTATGCTGAACATTCTTCTAAACTCCTCCTTTTGTCTTTTACAGATGTAAACTATCCCTAAGATGAACTACCCCTTTAAAATTCCCTTATAGTTTGTTTTAAATGCCAGTTTGAGTGCTCAAACTACTCTCGCCATGGTCCAAAAAGAAAACTGACCACAAGACCTACTGAGACTGTTCACAGATCATAGATGTGACCTCTCACCTTTAGGGGTACGAGAAGTGAACTCCGAGTCAAAGTAAAAGGTGTCATCAGGTCTGGCCACTGCTGGCTGGAATGGGGGTTTTATCTCTCGCCTGAAGAGTTTCTGAAAATGATTATACATTTTTTTTGTTGCATTCAGCTTTTACTGGTGGGGAGGATGAGTCTGTAATGGAACTACTTTAGATTTGCAGTAATTTGAAGTATGATCTTACATTCCAATCAATTGTCACGAAGAATAAATGGCGTTTGACTTCCTCGGCTCCATCTGATCCAGATGCTGGTAACGGTTAAAGTATAAATAAAACACTCCTTACTATGAAAATATAGCACATTTCAATAAAAATGTCCTTTCAATTACTTTAATCTAATGTCAAAAACATCAATATAATTGACTTGATTTGAGATTAACACAAGATTAACAGGCTACTAATGCTGTTTGAAGAGGTTACAATAAATCACAAAGAATGTATAAAACATCTGCCTGTGTATACATTACCCAGTCTGTTAGTGGGGTTCCTCTTGAACAGAGCTCTCAGTAAACTCTGAGCTTCAGTGCTCAGGAACTGAGGCATCCCCAGCCTTGCTCTAAAGAGATAACCAAACAATGATCACGACTCAGACACTGAATAATGCTCACAACACATACACTACCATTCACAAGTTTGGAGTGAATAAGACATTCTAAGTCATTTTGTGAAATATTATTACAATTTGAAGTACCTGTTTTCTGTTTTAATATATTTTAAAATATCATTTATTCCTGTGATGGCAAAGCTGAATTTTCATTTGCCATTAGTCTAACATAATCCTTCAGAAATCATTCTAATATGATTCTGATTTGATGCTCAAGATACATTTCTTCTTATTATCAATCTTTACACAATGTTGTTTTCTGCTTAATATTTGTGTGGAAACTGATACATCCGTTTTATTTGAAAAATAGAAAGTATTTATTTGAAATATAAATTTTTGTAACATTGCAAATGTCTTCACTGCCACTTTTGATCAATGTAATGCATCCTTGCTGAATAAAAGTTAATTTAGTGTAGGCAAAATCAACAATAATACATAAGACAGAGAAATTGTTGTTTAACAGTATAAATTGCTGTTCTTTTAACAGCTTTCTAGTAGCAAATAAAGCAAACCAGTGAAATGGAAAGTGTCTGATTAACTGAACTATTTCCTAGCAAAAAAAATAAGCCCAATCATAATGTAAAACACATTTATCCTAAATGCTTCATTTAAAATAACAATTTCACTAGGCTTCCTTTCTATAAAAAGATCAAAACTCAATGGATTCTCACTTCAGGATGAGATTCATTGTTTCTTTTCTGTCTTTTCCCTGGAATGGCAGTGACCCGGTAAGCATTTCAAACTGTAAGAAAGAGAAGCAGAAAGCAAATGTTAAAGCCAAATAAATCAGACAATCTAAGTGACATCAAAGCAGATTTTCTCAATTTCTACATGAATCTGGACGTACCATCAGTACCCCAAATGACCACCAGTCAGCGCTGTGGGTGTGTCCCTGCCGGTTAACCACCTCTGGAGCCATGTACTCCACCGTCCCGCAGAAGGAGTAAGCCTTCTTCTCATTGTCGATAGCTTCCTTACACAGTCCAAAATCTGAGAGAAATAACAAGACCAATTACACCAATTAAATCAAACATTTCATCTCTATTCTTTGGTAAACCACAGTGCTTGTATTGTACCTGTGAGTTTGATATGGCCCTCTTCATCCAGGAGGATGCTAGAACATAGACATTTATTTGTTATGCCATTTAACAGCAGTCAGGTAAAAATCACGTTAAAACGTTCCAAACAATATCACACTCATACTCGACAGTAACTGAAGTCTAATCCAGTACAGGTTGCAGAATTCATGGTGTGTATGTGTTTGTTAAGACAGGGACACAACAAGCTGACGTCAAAGAACTATCTGCAATAAAAGCAGACTGTTGTCGCCTCTAGTTGGCTGCGTCTCGGCCAAAAAGACGACTGTCTAAAGGCGACTGTCAACTAGAACGTGCATTCTGCGCCTGTGTGCAAGTAATATCTGTCTATCAACAGCCTTCTGTCTGTTCCGTCTTGACTTCTTTGCTCGCTTTCATCACTTTCGCTTTTATTCTCGTGCACTGACTCATTCGCTAAGCTGAACAGCCAGAGCTCTCTCTCACAGAAGATTTGTCACCGATGGTGAATTGGCCCAAAAAACCCCGATGGCATATGACTAGAGCAAAAAACAAAAATGGCCCGACGGCCAGACGTCGGCTTGATGTGTCCCAGCCTTAAGGTCAAGTATCTCCTCAATCAGTTTATGTTGAATGTGTCTGTGTGTGTATATTAAGTACTTCTCAGGTTTGAGATCTCTGTAGATAATGCCGAGACCGTGTAGATGATCTAGACCCAGTGCCAGCTCAGCCAGATAAAACTTCACATCTTCTTCCGTGAACATCACCTGAACACCAAAGAGACTGAGTGAATACAAAGAAGTAAAAGGAGAGCATATTGCGCTCATTGGTATGAGTATTATATACCTCTTTTGACAGCCTGGTGAATAGATCGCCCCCTCTGAGGAAGTCCAGAATCAGATAGAGTTTACCCTCTGTCTGAAAGGCTGAACACATATACACACAGAGTGCGCTTATGACCAGTGTATTAACAATGAAGTTTATCTGATCTGTTAGTCATTAATAATAAGCTCCCACGGCTTCCTGTACAATATAAGGCCTTCATCAAGCAGGTAAATAGCATGATTGCAAAGTTAAATGTAATGACCTCTGAACTGTAAAACTTTACTCTTCAAATTAATTAGGGGACCAGAATCATACAGGAACACTGAATTGAAGTCATTTAATAATTCCTGCTTAACAAAATCACATACAGAGCAGCAATTCAACAACCATCTGTATTATCAGTGACTTCCACTTCCACTCAAAGTTCCTTTTGCGACATTTAAAGGGACAGTTCATCCAAAAATGATAATCTTGTCATAATTTACTCACCATCAAGTCATTGAAGCATCAAAAATGATGCAAAATCCAAAAGACCAAACCAAAGTTGTTATTCACTAATTGTCTTCCCATTCAGTGAGCTGTTAACTACTGCAACCAAATTGTTGAGTCAGTAAGTTGAATCAGAGTAGTCCGATTTTAGACGGAATCATTGAATCAATGATTCAATTGATTAAGTGAAATGATCCAGCTTAATCAGACTTCACTAATTCTTTCATAAACTTGTCAATAAGAGTAAGGGTGGATGGCAAGGTTTTTAGTGAATAATTTTTTTGTTGTTGTGCTCGCCACACAAAGCTATAGTGTGACTTCTAGAGCAGCGATTCCCAAACTGTGGTCCGTGAGGGTACTGCAGGTGGTCCGTGAAAAGGCAAAATAAAATATTAAATAATATATATTTTTTTACCTTCATTTTACCAGGAAATTCCCATAAAAAGTAAAAAGAATATGTAGGCCTATATTTATATAAAATGTAAATTAAATTGTCAAGTTATTGTGTGATTACTAAAATAGGCTAGTGGCGCTCGGCCGTGACGTTCAAGCTCAGTGTCGTCAGAACCACAACATGGATCGGTGGATAGCTATGATAGCAACAGGTTAGGTGAGCATTTATTTAGTTGTTTGTTTTTAATATAGGCCTATATTAGACAGACGATACAAAGAGGAAGGGAAAGATGTGGAGGGTCACAAAGGGGGATATTACGTTCATATCGGGCTGGCAAATAGACTCCAATGTCTTTTCCTTTTGACAACTTTATTTTATTTTTTAACCTGGAGTAACGTTAGGCCTACTGTGTTTTCATTAAATGTGTAAAGTTATAGGGCAGAGGCAAATATGTTCTCATTATCACATCACATGGATAGCCTTTATATGCAGTTTAGGCCTATATGAAACGAAATGTTTATAAATGGAATGAATAAGGCTTGTTATTATTTTAATTTCCAGTTAACGTTAGTTTCTTGATCTCGTGTTTATGAAATGTTTTGCGGATGTGCTGTTAAATGGACAAACTCAAGCCTACTGTTTGAGGACTTGTAAAACTCTGAAGATTAACGTTGATAATCCTCTAAAATCGCCAAAGGTTTTGAAATGCTGACTATATCCAAGCGTTCTTATTACTGTAGATGTCATACTCCATTGCTATGGAAATAAGCCTGTTGTTCAAATGAACCTGATTATGCCCTCGGGCGCTTGAGTAAATAAATAAATTAAATTTGTGGCAGCGGTTGTGTGCAGTAAAAAAGTCTTTAAACAAATTTATTGTACTGATGTGATGACCAGTTATAGTTTTAGTGCTAGTTAGCCTATTTAGAGGTGTGGATTAATTCAGGTAGGACTGTGTAGACATTTTATTATGTGTATTATGAGGTGGTCCACGAAAATTCTTGATTTCAAATGGTGGTCCACACACACGAAAAGTTTGAAAACCCCTGTTCTAGAGTCTTGGAATGGGCTGCTTTTGGGATACTTTAATGGTGCTTCTGCAGTCCATATTCACTGAAATTACATGGAAAAGAAGGGACCAGTTCAGCCCTCAGAATCTCTCCTTTTGTGTTCCAGTGAGTCATATGGATTTGGAATGACATGACAGTGAAAAAAAGATAATTCAAATTTTGGGGGAAACTTTTCCTTTAAAGAAGGGGAAATGGAATGACAAAATATTACAATGTACCATGAAACAAACATCACGCTTACTCACCATAATGGAGTTTAACCACAAATGGATGGTTGACGTCTGCCAGGATGTCTCTCTCCATTTTAGTCCTCACACGATCCCTCACTGTGACAAGAACAATTTCACACAGGTTTTGAGATGAAATATCTGGCCACAACCAACATAAAGTCAAACTTCATTGAGTAGTTTTACTTCATGGATTGTAATATTGGCCAATACATCGGTAAAACAACTTAGCAAAATCACAACTATGCAATTCATATATTCAAGAATGGTAATAAAAGCCAAGCATGAAAAAATGTTCTACTTTAAGTGACCAATGAATCAGCAGATTCAGCTTAACGGATGTCTGAAGCAGAAGTTTACCAGATAGCATTTGTTTGTAGGAAGTGATGTTATCAGCTCTCATGAAAACATAAGGTGCGTCCCAATTCGCATACTTGGGAGATAGAAAGAGGGCACAACCGAGATTTCAGTGAACAGATATCTGAATCTAAAGCTTCAGGTTTGTAAGTATTGTATTGTGGGATTTTCTGTCATTGGGGTACACAGAAAAAAAAACAGGAAGTGAGTGTACCCACAGAAGAGTTACTGTTAACCTGCAACCTCACTCAGAGTGGCATGAATTCAAATTTGCAGTTGAGGGAATATGCCAAAATATTGTGTATATATCTGATAGGTTTGACAGAGTAAATATAAAACTAGTAAATTCAAGAAGACTGTCACTATTGAGAACAATTAAACGCATGGTTGGCGTTTGTAACTGTGGTTACACAGAAACTAGGAGTGACACTAGAGTAAAGAAAAATAAACAGCCTGGGAGAAAAATGTAAAATGAAAGTAGCTGTTGTTGAAGCACTGTTTATATCAGCAAAGGAAGCTTGTGTGGTTTGTGGTGTGTGTGTTTACACTGATGCTGTACCTTTGAGTGTAGCCTTTCTCAGGACCTTCATGGCATACAGTTGGTTACTGTCAGGAGGGGTTACCTTCCGTACCAAAAACACCTGTGCACACACAAAAAAACATGTTTTCACTACACAATTCAGTTACATTGTCTGAATGCATCTTAGTCAAGTCAGTTTTTGAAGGTACTGAGCTTTTAAAGGAATGTGCTATAAAAGCCATGATAAAAATTCACTCAGTTTTGCTAATAACACACACCAGGGTTGAAAAACAACAACAAAAAAACTCTTTTCTAATTCACGAGTTAAAAAACTTCCCACAGAAAGTTGAATTTGAATTGAATGACAGTAAGTGATATTTAATGAACAACCTAGGTAAATGTAATTATTTACATATTCAACAAGTCATTGCTAGATGTTGTTACATTTGCTTAGCAAAAAGGTCCTTAAATGTCTTGTCATTGAGATTTGAGTACCATTCAGTACTGAACAATAACATAACTTGTTACTACCATAGTACGATGCATCATTGAAGAAATTAACTAGCTAGACAATTTAACGGTTAATTAGTTTGAGATCAAATTAATGTCAGATTATTGCTTTAAATAATAAGAATGGCATGATTGGCAATGCCACTTTGGCATCTGAGGGCTACTTTGCTATTTTTGTTTGGCTCGGGGTACTAGAGCAAATACGCAGTCTTAAAAAATGGCATTCTCTTGTCTTGACAAACTAAAAGACATGAAATTAATTTTGAACATAGGGATAGAAAAATAGGCCTGCATGTTAGATTGCTTATTTTGCTAATAAGCATGATCCATTCGAATCCACGTCTTAATGTTTGTTGGTTATGATGGAATTTGCGAGTACAGCTGGCTAACGATGTATTTGGAGAACGCACCACAAGATGGAATTATCTTTCCAGATCAATTGGAGCACTTTGGGAAATTATTCGTTCTTCTAACCTGGCTCATAAAATGAAAGTTAAGTTTAAAAAAAAAATAAAAAAAATAATATGATATCTCTCTCTCTCTCTCTCTCTCTCTCTCTCTCTCTCTCTCTCTCTCTCTCTCTCTCTCTCTCTCTCTCTCTCTCTCTCTCTCTCTCTCTCTCTCTCTCTCTCTCTCTCTCTCTCTCTCTCTCTCTCTCTCTCTCTCTCTCTCTCTCTCTCTCTCTCTCTCTCTCTCTCTCTCTCTCTCTCTCTCTCTCTCTCTCTCTCTCTCTCTCTCTCTCTCTCTCTCTCTCTCTCTCTCTCTATATATATATATATATATATATATATATATAACCATTCTACATCCTGAAGTTAAATGTAAAGAAATTTTATTCAAAGTTATATGGCATTCTCTTTTTAACTCTCTATTCTGAATGGTAAATACAGTAACCCAGACACAGGTGATGGTTGTGTTGTTAGGGGGATTACTAACTCCAAATTCATTCTCGTTTGCTCTGGTCTACAGCAGTGAAACCATGGTCAGCATCTCATAAGCTAAATAACAGGAACACACATCAAAGCTAAAACACAAGACATATATGAACAGATGCAGTCTAGAAGTTTGTGCATATGAGAGTATCTTTACCTTTCCAAAGGAGCCCTGCCCCAGCACTTTGAGCAGCTCAAACTGTGAGGGGTCTGCTTTCTCTGCCCCCTCCTTAACCACATGTGTGATGTTGATCTCCTTGATGTCACCATCGTCCTACAACACAAGAGACAGAAATGGATATCAACCAGAGAAATATCAGGGTATTAAAATATGCAATATCAAGGCCATGATATCAGACCATCCAATTGGTCAGGAAGACAAGCTTGATTATTAAAGCTTAAAGCTGGGCTAAGAGGACATAATATCCCATGCAGGAGGACACTGAACGATGAGCAATTTGCTTTAATCATCCCCAGTGGCCTAAACAACATTATCATATCTGAGTGCGGCTCAGAGGGCGATTCCACCTTCCACAAAGCGCCCCCGATAGGAGATAAAGTATATTAAAAATGTATATATAATTTTTATTTCTGGGATCAGTTGTACATACTTTGAATTGAAACTGCAACTTTTGTGTTATCATCCAAGAACATTAAGGTATCAACACCACTTGTTATTCAATACTTATTTTGCACGTTTCAGCAGCAGGGATGCAGGTGAGAAGCTCAAGCGATTTAAAGCCACAAAGAAAAGCACATAGATCTGAATGTGTTGTCAGTTTATTATTCTTAAAGTTAGTATATGCTAGAAACGTAGGCTCTGCTTGAAATAGAGTGCTGTATGTCACATTTCCCCTGTGACAAGAGAGAAAGAGAAAGGGGGGAACATGTTTGAGAGGAAATGGTTAACGGGTGAAATACAATTAAACTCTGCATTCTGAGAACCTGGTACAATTAAAAGCACACAATGGGTGAAATAAAATTAAACTGCATTCTGAGAACCTGGTACAATTTAAAGCACACAAACAGTAGCATCAAACCCAGTTAGACTAATATCAGAAAAACAGCTGCTTGTACACAACCCACAATTGCTGACTAATTCACCTTTAAAATCACTGGAATGGAAACATCAATATATAAATCATTTAAAAGAATAGATCAACCAAATATTAAAATTCATCATTTACTCAACATCATGCCATTCCAAACCTGTATGACCCTTTCTTTTGTGGAATACAAAAGAAGATAGGCTATTTAACAAAATGTCTCGTTGTTTTGTTACAATGGAAGTCAATGGTCATCAAAACGGTTTGGTTAACATTCTTCTTCAAAACACCATCTTTTTGTTCCACAGAAGAAAGTAAGTCATAAAGGTTTGGAACAACATGAGGACAAGTAAATGATTTTTGGGTGACCTGTCCCTTTATCCTTGTGGCAGATGCAGCAGATGATATGCGTGATATGTACAGTTTAAAGGTTTATATACACATTATCTCTAAAAATTAAGCTAAATTAATATTTATCTGAAGACAACCAGACAAAATGTAAATCTACAGCGTGTAATAAATGCTAGTCTATAGGTGGATGCTAGGAATTCAGTTTATGTTCACCAACTATTTTGCACATAAATCAACAAGGCCCAGAGCTAGTCCTGGTTCAGTCAGATTAATTTGTTCATTTCTTTATGGTTTGAAGTACTATCACATTATTGTTATTATTCTCAATATTTTTTTGCATTTGACAGGTTTTAGGGTGTTGCTGACACTTGCAACATGAAAGAGAGAGAGAGAGAGAGAGAGAGAGAGAGAGAGAGAGAGAGAGAGACAAATGTCACAAAGCTCTGAAACACATTTCACTAACATCTTATCTGAGTGTTTGACTTCTAGCTGTGTTAAATGATATTATAAGCAATTGATTTCAGAAGAGTATGATTACATAAACTTGTGTTTATCTGACAACCAGTGTGGCCCAATTCAACAAAACAAATGTAACATTTCCTCTCAACAAAAAAAAACACCCCAACAACAACAACTCCTCTACAAAGCAATGTGATTATAATACTGTGTGTGCGCACTGACCGGCATCCATGTTGTATGTTCATCGGTTAAAGCTGCACTAGACGGAGTCGAGTTCGTGGTGCTGTTCGTCTCCTCTCTGGACTGAGTGGCATTCGCTAAAGTCTTACTGTGCTGCCGCTTGAACAGGTAGAGTGTCAATAACTGACTGACTTTAAACTTCCTCTTTTCTTTCTCCATCTCTTCATCCCTCCTCTAGCCAGGGCATTCCACCATTACCCCCATCCGCCTGAAGTCGGGGCAGCCATAGACAACAAACTCATCCCAGAGAGGGAGCGAGCAGTGTGAATGTGTGTATGGGACTGAGGGTGTGTGCTCTGCCCTGCTCAACAACTAAAGTGAAGTAGGCAGGAAGAGGAAGGAAGACACTGAGACCTCAAAACAGAACTGGTGAGAGAGAAAAAAACAGAGCAAGAGAGAGATAGAGATGGAGAGAGCGAGAGAGAGGGTGTGACAAAGTAATGTGTGTCAGAAGTGGTAATAACAAAGATAGATAGAGGAAAGAAAATATTTTAAACCCTTTTTATTATGTATTAAAAATGTTTAACAATTATATTTCATCATTCAGAAGTTATATTATTTACCTTACTAACACATTTATTTTATCTTTGTGTGTGTGCATTAATGAAAAAGGAAAAATATTTTTGAAATATTCACAAAAACATTTATTTTATTTTATTTTTGTTCTTATTTAATCAGTTTATTATCATTTTATAAAAAAAAAAAAAGTATTTTAACATTACTGGTAACTTGTTTAATATTCTTTTCTGTTAACATATTTACTTTTAACCATATAAAAAAAAGACCGAAAGAACCAATTTTAAAAAAGAAAACCTATCTGGGACTACTATGTTAAAACCTTCTCCTGATACTCTTTTCTGTATATGTTTTTCTCAAGCTAGAGCTTCTGCCCGTTCTGCCGACGAATGAAAAAAAGAAAAAGAAATAGCAAATTAAATACCCATACCCATTTTCATCTTAATTGATTGCACAGCTTCAGAGTTACGAGTTAGTCGTACCCTCTATGGGTAGAATTTGCTGTCATTTGGCACGTGTCCTCATGCTGTCTATGGCTATATTCAGACAGGCAGCAAAAATCTGATTTTTTGCATATGCTGATTTTATCCAGATGGGTTCTTGAAAATCATCGACAGCAAAAAAACCAAATGAAATCTGATTTTTTAAAAATCCGATTCAAACCACATATGGAGGAGGTTTGAAATGCAATTCCAATCAGATTTTTAGAGCTCAGTCTGGACGTTCTGGCTGCTCGAATCGGATTTCAAACTTTGCAAGGCATCTACGAATGGAAACTTTTTGCCAGCATAGTCTATAGCTGCTTTGTACAAAGTTTGGTGAAGATCAGAAGAACAGCCAATAGGAGAAGTTTGAAAAAGTAGGTTTTTCGGGAAAACTGAAAATAGCACAAAAAAAGCTTAAGCTTAAATGCTTATATTTTAGCTTTTATGGTTCCAGAGATATAAACCAAAAAAACAATGACGTTACTATAGAGCCACCTAATGTCTGACAGATGTGTCTCTGGCCGCCTGAGTAATGGGGACCATCCCACCAAGTTTGGTGTCTCTACTAAGAAAATATAATAATAATATGAAAACTGGAACACATACATAAGGTTACAAATACAATATTGGACTCCTAAAATAGAACAAGCAAATGAGAAAAAGAACACAAAACTACAGAGCCAGAAAAAGAATTTCTGTATCCGTCGGGTGGACACTTAAATGCTCATCCTGTCCCATTATGCTTTGCTGATTTCCCCTCTCAGTGTTCTCCTCCCTCACCATCAACTGAGCTAAAAATACAGTGGTGCTTTAAAACACACAGGTTCTTCCTCTGACTATACAAGAGGAAGTTATAATCAGAAGAAACAACAACCGACTGGCGGACAGAGCAGAGATTGTGGCATGCCCCAGCGGCGCTCCTCTTCCTTTACTGACAGACAGGGATAGTAGAGCTCAGAGGAAAGCAGGTGGCAGCAGAAAAATCAGGGATCTTACCTTCACGCTAACATCAGCAAACTCTCTCTCTACCCAGGTGATCTGTGACTTGAACTGTGTGTGGGTTGGGAGGAAGAAGTGAACAGTAAATCAAACTGAGAACAAAATGAATCTTTTCTTTACACTTACACTTCCTGATGAACCAACTAAAAAAATCAAGACACTTCTCTCCACCAAAGTTTTGATAGTGGAGCCAAAGGGATCATGTCATATGAAAGCTTTCTGTGAAAGTTTGATTGAAGAAAAGAAAGATTGTCAAATGTACCTTCCTCACCAGTGGGTTTAAGACAGTCAGGTTAGCAAATGAATTGTTCAGACCAGTTTGTGAAATGGATTGATTTAAAAGTTCCCAATAAAAAGAAAGATTTGTTTACAGTTAAAGTTCAGATTCAGATGTTATTTGGCCTGTTTGTCACACAAAGCTAAGTTTGGAACAACTTAACGGTAAATAAATGGCCAAATATTAATTTTTGTGTGAACTATCCCTTAAAAATGCTGTAGTGAAGAACTGAATATGGTCGTTCAGTGTTGAAACAAATTGTATCAGTCGAAACTTCCTGTTTCAGCTGAGGTTGAGAGAAAGAGGGAGAAACTTCTCTAATAATCTTTTTCAGTCAACAATGACCTTTAACACCTTAGCTATGCACTCTTAAACTTTTTATTTGAGCTTTCACTTTACTTTCACTCTGCCTTAAAATGACCAGTACCACAACACAAATGGCAAAAGGGAAAACAGATGCACAAAAAGCACTTCCGCTGCTGTCATTAGACCAACATCTTATTTTGTAATAGCAGTGAGCACATCCATCTCTGTAAGCTCTCCAGTGCGTGCTTAAAAGATTCATGCTTTTCGACAAGATTTTATAACGAAACGATTCATATTAAAGTGAAACCACACAGGATTTAACACCCAATATATTTCTCGCAACACTGAACAACCCACGAGGCTTCAGGCTGCAGCTTTTTGCTTCGTAAACCAGACGTTTCCTGTTGCAGAAATTTTCAAACCAGAGTTTGGTCACACAGAAAAGTCATACTGAAACAGCTTACAAATGAGGGATGCGCCCACAAAGAAAAAAAATCTTGTTAAAAAAAAACACCTGTAGAATTTTAAACAAGAAAACTTGCAGTCAAGCTGCAGTCAACACAAACACAACAGACCCTCTCTCGTTCCCAACCACAACTGAAAGGAGCGGGTAACAGGCGAGATTATGTGTTTCCTGTCCCTCTCATCTCATTCCAAACAAACCTCTCTACTCTACATCTCTCTATCCCTTCAGGTAAAGGAAGAGTACACTTGCCTGTTGCATGCGTGGCTTGGTGCGAAAGATATGCCTCCACATCTCCACCCTGACCCATGTCACCGAGGACAGAGACTGTCCGTCACAAAGCTCTCTGTCTCTCTCTCTCTTGCTTTCACACACAGACCTCTTGAGTCATGAGAAATGGGGAAATGTCAAAAAAACACAAGGGACGGAACGGTCATGTGTATTTAGATGAGGGTACAAAGCAGGAAATGGTGAAACTGAGAAAAACCACACGTCAACCTGAGTCACCTCACTCAATTCCTTTCTTTGTATTGACACAGACATGTTTCCACACTACGACGCCTTTAGCTGAGGAAGTAGTCGGGCATATCCCCACCAATTTTTGCCATAACCAATATTGTCCCCACCACTTGTGCAATCTACGAGCATCTCCAATTGTTGAACGGTGTTCATTTAATTTCTGAAGGTACGTTTACATGACAGGCAACGATCTTCTAAAAACGGAAACGTTTTTTCCTATGTACAGATGACGTTATTAAAACGAGCCTTGTTATGAATCAACATTCAAAAGAGGCAACGTAGGATTTTTTAAAAGTTTTTGAAAGAATTCTCACCAAGGCTGCATTTATTAGGTCAAAAATACAGTAAAATAATATTGTGAAATATTATTACAATCTAAAATAACTGTTTTCCATTTTACTATATAGCCTATTAAACGTAACTTAGCCTAGTCATGTGATGCAAAGCTGAATTTTCAGCATCATTACTCCAGTCTTCAGTCACATGATCCTTCAAAAATCATTCTATGTTGATAATATGCTGCTCAAGAAATATTTCTTATTATCACAGTTGAAACCGGTTGTGCCGCTTAGAAATTGTGAACACACTTTTTTCAGGTTTCTTCGATGAATAAGCAGTTCAAAATATATTTAAATTTACAAAAAGATGCTCTCCACCTAATTAATATTCATGAGCCTTTACCAGCAAACTGAGAATATCGTGACCTCCCAACCACCACGTCTACACCTTCCCTACTCACCCGCCAGTTTAAAAAATAAAAATAAAAATAACGCCCATGCTCAAGCAGTCCGTACTGCCCAACAACAAGCCAGGACAAACTTGACAACCGAGTTTTCAATCAAAACCATCTGAATGCAACAGTCATAGCTCCGAGTGTGTTGCTTAGCAGCGAGCGCTGCGGAGTCTGTGCGCGAGAGCCGCACGCGACTCGTCTTTTTGTGTGGCCACCTGTTGCACTGGATTTACAGAACTGCTCATTCCTAACAAAGACGCGCGTGCAGCTGGTGTGTGTGAGCGGAAATGAGAAGCACTGGTCACGCCAATAAACCTGGCAAAAGGGCTCGGATAGGCTAAAGAATGAATTGGCAGACATGAAGTGTTTGAAGTTTGAGCCTCTTTGATAAGTGAAAGGTGTTTATGAATATGTATGCCACACTCATTAACTGAGCGAATAAACATGAGCTTCTAATAGTCTGGTTGAGCCAGTGGTAAGTGGCCGAGCACTTCATAGTTTAAGAGTCTCTGAGAGGCACGCATTGTTCTAGTCGTGTCTCTCTTTTGAACGAGCGAATGCTGCAGTGCGGTTACTGGCCGCTAGAGGGCAGCGCGGGTCTGTTCAGTTAAATTCAAAAGGCTGTAATTTAAGCATCATTTGTAAATGTTTCAACATGTTTAATACAAAAAGAGTTGCTGTTAAAAAAATTCGTTAAAGAAGCATCTTTTGAATGACCCCAGAAATGTCACAGCAACACAATCAAAAACCAGTCCAAACACAGATAACACAACCACACTGATTTCAGAAAGCCTTAAAAAGGTAACAATGCAAACCTTAACACCGTAAGTCATCCTCCAAGTACTTAAAAAAAACTTTATTTGCCACAACCTTATAAAAACTTATAAAGTATTTTATAAATTGTTGCCAAATGTTAAACTATGTAACGAGTTATTTTTCAAAATCAGAAGTTTTCAAAACAATTTCACACGTGTAATGGCATTGAAAATTATTTTAATAGGAAAAACTGTTACCCAATCATAGCAGTGGGCATTTACTTCCAACCAAGTCTTGAATGCGGTATGCCATCAAGTGTTCAAAAGATAAGGTCAAAAGCAGGATAGAAAATAGCTTATTACTTCTAAATTAGGATGTTTTTTTTAATGTAAAAATCTTGAAAAGATAAGTGGACCTCAGAGAACAAATTAAAAAAAAAATGCAGTTCATGAACCCTTTAATGTTTCATCTATCCACTAAAAATAATTACTGCCTAAACTAAGTATACAGTGCTGAGAATCAAACGAACCTTAAAGTTGCTCTGAACCCACTGGAGTGATTCCTGTTATTAAATTCAGATTCCTGTTTCCATGTTATTCTGTGATTCTGGTTCCATTCCAACACAAACAACAGTGCTTGTAGTATTAAACTACATAACTCAGAGGTTAAAAATGCAGTTATTTAGATTTATGACATTTATGAATACTCCCCTCTGCAATTTTTATTCTTTGTGTTGCGCTGAGAAGCCCTGCACATCGTAAAATCTCACTGCTCCAAAGTTCCACTGCATGTAACAGTACATTAAACATCTTCTGACTGGATGTGATTATATGGCACTACACCTCAGTTTCATTTTTAGTGTGGACAGACAAATTTCTTGTCACAATGCGTATTGCAATTTGTAATTTTATTACAAAATTTAATCCAGGACAAAAGATTTGACCCAAAATATCAACAACACATTTTAAATTCATTATAATACAATCGTGAAGCATTTGAAAGTATGAATCACTGTCTAACTCATAGCTGTCAACATTTGGTTTTCAAAATCCGGGAGATGGGTGGGATGGGTGCTCGCTTTCGGGTTAAGCTTTCTGCGACTGCACAACTGGGTCATAGGGTTGCCAGGTTGAGATGACAAACGGGTTGAAATTGTATATATGTTAGTGGATTGTGTAAATATAATGCATTTAATACAAGATCTGGCAACTGGTCAACATTAGACAAACATATTGGTCCGATTATTCATAAAGGAGTTTGGGCCATGCAAATTACGGGAGTTTCCCAGGACAAATAACAAACCGGGAGGGGTCCGGGAAATAGGACAAAAAAAATGGGAGAAACCCCGGAAAAATGGGAGTGTTGACAGGTATGGTCTAACTTAGATGATTATTTTTTTCTTACACAACTCTCATTCTTGAGTTGCATTCTGTCTAATAAAAAAAAAAAAGTAACTTTTTTTATGCACGGAGGAAGAAGAAATTGAGTGGCAGCATCATACAAATCAGAGAAGTGTGAGAACTAGAAAGAGCGGATGAAGCAAACCTCACTGCTCGAGTGAACAGGCTTGTCTAACACAGAAACTGAAACATAATAGGCTGTTAAAATGCAAATAAATTCAGAGAGTTTGGAGTGAGTCATGGCAAGTCTGGGTGGCTAAATATATGCTGTTTCTAACAGAAGCAGAGAGGAGATTCCTCAATTAGGTTATCTTCATCCAAATATTTTTTTTGCTTCTGCCTCAATGTCTACAGTGGTTGCGAGTCTGCAACACATTGGGTTTCATTTTGCTCTATATTCATACTCTGTAATGTAAATGATATTCATACTGGGGAAAAATTGTGCCAGATTATCAGATCAAAATATTCAGACAGTTCTGTAACTGGGTCACATTTCAGATGCCCTTTGTTTAAACTCATTAATTTATGCACTACTTTCTAATTGAAAGAAAATCAAACTTCCAGCATCCCATTATTCATTATATTTCTGAGTCAAAG